ATGCACGGATTTTTACCAAAAATTAATCAAATCTGCGCATATGTTCAGAGCATCTATGTACCAAGTTTCATCAAAATCCAATGAGTGGTTCTTTAGATATCAGTGGAACAGTCATAGAACAGCTAAAAATTAGCTAATTATCATGCAAATTAGGTAATTAACGAGCATGGATTTTTACCAAAACCTAATCAAATCTGCGCATTGGCCCAGAGCATCTATGCACCAAGTTTCATCAAAAACCGATGTATGGTTCTTGAGATAGCAGTGGAACAGTCGGACACACATACACACACACATACACACATACACACATACACACATACACACATACAGACACACTAACTGCAAAGACTCCCATTTTGTGCTTCGCACATGGGAGTCAAAAATTGGTGGGCTGATTTTTTATTTGTCACACCGCATTTTATTAATGTTAAATTGAGCGACTTTTATGGATGCTTTTTAGATCGTAAATGCAAATGGCGACGTTTTGAAATGACAATGTACTCAATTCTGTGCTAAAAAAATCATTTATATACAATCATTGAAGCATTGTTATATACTTTTACATAGAATAAAGTCATTAGTTGTTGTATAGTTGACTTGAACTGTTATGAACCCCCCAAGAATCAGAAATATCACAGGTTTTTCGATCGACTACGTTAACATGAACGATGCCATTTTGACAAGATTTTTTTAGCGATGTCAGCATGTTGGCACGCGAAGTTTTTTTCCCTATTAAAACGAGAAAATGAACATAATTCCCGATATTAATCTTTGAATTGCAGGAACTGGATGTTTATGAGTTGGTAGGCTGGTTGTGATGCGTATCAGGGTTCAAAAAACCCAAATTTCATAGTGATAATTTTGTTTACATGTTTGTTTACGTTGTGGTTGCCCGAATTTGAAGTCAAAGTGAAGTCATACAATGAGGTATCGCTTTGCATGACGGTAAATTTTGAAGGTATTGTAATCTGTCTGACTTCCTGACTCCCTCCGCCCGCGTGTGAACAGTTTGTTTACCCGCACTGCGGTTCGAGACAAAAGAACGCTAGACCGGGGATAGAGGGACTGTGATTACAAGTAGTGGTTATAATGACATTTCTGTGAAAATTCCAGGGTTTATAGACCGTAACAAACCTGTGTTGCCAGCTTTGTCTGCGAACATAATGCAGAATGCGGAGGTCAATAAATTCTGATTCTAAAGCTAAAGTTGTCCTCAAAGATCAGTAAATATGGTAGATATGTTTGTCTACTTTTAAAATAGTATAAGCAGATGTGAGGCCAGGATGTTTTTTAACACATTATTTTTTAAACATCTTATGTTTTTAGCTTGTTGTGGAAGTGCTGTTTCACATGCAAATGTGAATGCAACTTTAACCTAGTATATATATATAAATATGCCATACTTTTCTTTAATTTCAAAAACTCCCATCATAACTCTTAGTCAATATTTTTGTCCTGACATGTATGTAAACTATCGTACACTGGCTGCTGTTAAATTTTCATTATAAACAAGCAGCCTCTCAGGTGAGATAGCTCTGCTGTTAGCAATGCACATTTCAATTAAAGAACTGAAAAATCTGCGAGAGGGCTACCTGCATAGTACATGTACAAGAGCAATCAGACTTGCTGTTTTTAACAAGAATTTGAAAACCTCACTTTTCACCAAAAATGAGAATTGAGGATATCATCACGAAATGAACAAATCTGCACAAGGTCTACCTGTAGTACCTATATGTATAATATCAAAACAATTGGACTTGTGGTTTTCAACAAAAAGTTGAAAGTATCACTTTTTAACAGAAATGACAAAAATATTAATCAAAATTAGAGAACTAAATATATCATAACAAAAAGAACAAATCGAAGAGAGAAGTCTGCCCAAGGAAAATATACACTGAGTATAAAAGCAATAAGACTTGTAGTTTTCAAGAAGCAGTCAAAAACGTAAAAAGTTGACACGAACAACCAAGTATGACAATCACTCATAAGATAAGCTTCGCTTGACAACATTGACAGCGGAGCTAAAATAATTGTACTTACAGAAGATATACTTGTATGGTTTGCCAACATTAGCCCACTGACTCTATGTGAAGTCTGTACATAGGGTGATTTCCTTGACAATGCAACCTACAATAAAAGGTAATATTGCTGAATTCAATCAATTATATATATTACGATGGAATAGATTAAATATTACATTATCATACTGTATTGTGAGTATGAATAATATAGTGGAGCCTGTGACAGTACATACAGAAGTGAGGATTATGAACAAGATGCAAAATAATGCAAACCGATTTTAAATCCACAAGACATATTTCATGAATTTTACTGTTATATGTGGCTAAATTTTGTACTGGTGAATATTATTACACAAAGTGTCAATGACTTTCATCAAATTTTGTCTTCATGAGTGACATAAAATCCTGAAATGGCAAAAATTTCCAGTTTACTTGTTCACAGTAAACATTGGTATGAATAAAGAAATAGAAATGAATCAGTTGAATGTATTTTTGATATTTAAAGCAGAATTAAAGGTTTATTTATTTTATTTATTTATTTATTTATTTGTCACAACTCTTTTACATCAGATGCTCACTAACAAGTAAATAGAAGCTGCAATAAAATTACTGGGAAAAAAACAAATACTATATAAATGGAAAAAGAAACAGACAATTTAAAACTTAAAGGAAATACAATAAATGAATTTTTTAAACTTTAAGTAAAAACAGGAAATGAATCTAATCTACATAATCATTTCTATAATTCATGGCATCAATAAGACATCTTTTCACACCTCTATCAATTTCTTTACATATCTCATAATCATAATCCTAAATTGGAAATCAAGCAAGTCAGAATAGAAAATTCTATTTGTACAAGGATGTATTTTATTTTATCAACAATTTTTTTAGTTAACAATGTTTTAAAAAATTAGCATATCAGTTACATGACCAATTAGGTAGTCTATAGTTAACTTGTAGTGTTCTTACCTGAATACTAGCAGGTCCCCATGGAATAAAATTTGCCAGCTTCCTTTCTCTTATTCTCTGTAGACTTTTATGAACCTGGAAGAATATTATAAGTATGTCAACTATAGAGGGCGCTTATCTTCTGATAGCAGTTATGAAGATGTTTACAAACAAATTTTCATACGATTTTTAATAAAACATTTTTAATTTATCTGAAACAAATTTCAGTTTGCGGTCATAACATAATGGTGACAAAATTAAGAATCTTGTCTAGTTATGTCTACTGTAAAATACTTTATTTTCGCTTGGAGCTAATTTTCGCTATTTCTGCTGAAGGAATGATTCAGTGAAAATAAAATCAATTGAATATACCTTTTTTCCTACATTTTATATTCAACTTGTCAAAAATCAGTCAAAATAAGTTCCATACAACATCGAAAATGTCGTTCCAGCGAAAATTAGTTCCAGCTAAAATAAAGAATTTTACAGTATTTCAAATCAGAACTGAAATCTAATTGCCCGTAAATAATCAAGATAACAGGAAAAATTTGATTTAGAAACATTTTTCCATGGTTTGATGTATGATTTTGTGTAATAGTTCATTATTATCAGAACAATAGTTGACAACAATTTGAGAATTTATTAGAAGAAAAGAACCAACATTATAGTCACTTTCCCCACATATTTATAAAGATCTATCGCAAATGATGTCATGTGATCACAAACTGGCATCGAGGGTTAACATTTCTGTAACAGTAAATAACATAAACATGGGAAACAGCTATTTGAAATTGAGTAGTGAAGATAGTGACAAAGAGCATACCTGGGTTGGATCCACTTCGCCCTGGATAATATTAAGTATAGATATATAGCAATGGTTGGCTTGTAAACTTCTTTGTCTATCTCTAGTTGACACCATAGTATTCTTAGGTTGTAGCAATCTCCTCATAACATCAAGTACTGTTGTTTTTCGTATTGTGGTTACCTATGAGTAAAACATAGCTGAAATGGTCAAATCCCTTCAGGTTATTATTGATAGCAAATGAACAAGACAATACATGGAAGTCATTTTAAAATTCTATTCATTACAGTTCTGTTTTAAGTCGCCTTATTGGACAAAGCTAGGACAATATGTTAATTGCTAAAATTTCACAAGACTTGCAGTTTCGTAAGGTGACTATTTTCCATTCACTGCGAGAATCGCGCATTATGCGTGAAATTGAACATAAAAACAGGACAAACAAAGGTCATAGCGTCGTAGTGGTGTCAAACATCGCATGGGATTCAACAAACGCAAAAATATTTGGGGGGGGGGGGGTATTTCCATGCTTAATAATTTGCTGTACACATTTGATGATAGGCAATTTCGATTAAGTGAGGGTATTCAAAAGCAATATTCCTTTGTCGAAGATCGGCCGGTCGATGTGAGCTACGAAATAAAGAAATTCAATTTCAAATCGTTCGTCTCTAATGCATCTCGCGAGATCTTGTAGTTGAACGGAAAATCACCTATTGCGTAGCAGTCATCATTTCACAGCAACTTTCACCTCCCCCCTCACAAATGCCTTTAAATAACCAAATTACAAATTCTTGCAGTACTCAAGACAGGACAGATGAATTAGTCATAGATCAGTGCAAGAGTCTACAGCTTCATAACCAGCCGATAGTATCACTAGTAGTATCTGAGTAAAATGAAATGATCCAGACACAACCAATACACCAACTTGGCCTACACATGCATGCAAAGATCCATTTAAATGGAGCAATGCAGCAAATATGCAACATATGCATTGCCTTATAAGTGGCCTTGTAAGATATAATCCCGCCACCAAGTGGGTTAAGGCAATATCTTGTTTTTTTTTCAGGCAAATGATCTCTTGTCAACATAGTTGCCTTACTTGAACCATCTCTTACAATGTTTGCATATTACCACAGAATACTAGGTTGTACTAACAATAACTAACTGCCATTACAAACGTGTGTACATTACCTTCTGATCAGTGACAAGTGGTGTGTATCCAGTCATAAGGAAATGTAATCTTGGTGTTGGAATTAAAGAAGCTATCAAGCCAATCAAATCATTATTCATATAACCTGGATATCTCAACGTTGCTGTGCTCACAGACATAATGGTGGAGACCTACAAGGCAATAAAAACATTCATATAACCTGGATATCTCAACGTTGCTGTGCTCACAGACATAATGGTGGAGACCTACAAGGCGATAAAAACACTGATGTTGTATTGTATATTAGCAATTGATTGCATATAACATTTTGTTTTTGTATTTATAAACTTTTATTGGAGTTTGCACTGAAATTAACATCTTACGTACCTGGTTTGTACATTACAAATTGCAATTAATCTACATATTGTAAAGTGGACTGGGTAACATTTTTCAAAAAATTTCCCCATTTTTTATTATGAGAAGTCAACCTATTCCGTCAAACAGCAATGAAGTACTCTATCTCCAGGAAATATTTTACAAATCTTTTGTATGCCATGAATTCTGGCTTTTGGATTCTATGTCTACATGAATCTGTATATAACATTTACTTCCACTAAATTGCTGATACATACCATTTGGTTGATTTGTGAAAAATCTGGATTCTGTGCATGCATTCTTTCAGTTGCTATCCGATTGAGTGCTGTGTTGTCCAAAACTACCACACAATCAGCATTCTGAGTCAATCTCTTCAAGGTCAACAGCGAGTTATAAGGTTGAACGACGACATCACTAATTTCATCCTGGTTTGGAAATACGGAATATGTTTGGATCAACTTCTTTGGGAATCTGATGAAAACAAAAAAACAGAGAAATGTTAAAGCAAAACACTAGAGAATAAAGAAATAAGCAACAACAGCTACAATTGCCATATTACAGTTCACCAGATTAACCATCCACTTACAATCAATACAATGCAAATATGATTACGAAAGGTTTCGCTATTTACAGAATTCAAGATCTGTTTTAGAAGCAAGCAGATATTTCATGTATATCTGATATAAAATATTAATATGTTCAAAATAATTAATAACAATAAGTGGGAAAAATCAGACAGGGACCTTTTCAAGACATCCGAGTGAATCTTAAATTTGGTTACTGCCAAAAAATGTCATGTCATAAAGCTGCTCAGTTGAGACAAGATAACTGTTGTAATAACATACATGTACTAGTATAAATGTTACATCATGAATATCACAGGGAACGAGAGGAAGTGGAGTATGTTTATTTACCTGTCATTTAGACGTTCCAGTAGATATGATCCCATACCAGAACCAGTACCACCAGCAATAGAATGACATAGCACAAAACCTTCTAAGCTATCACTACCATCAGCCTCTCTGTCAATAATATCAAACATCTCCTCATAGAGGGTCTCGCCCTGTAATTAATATAGTGTGACAGTGAGTTTGAATGAACAACACAGGTACTGACTAACCCAGACCAAGAATCAGCTGAATATTGAAATCATGCATACCAGAAAATCGAATTTGTTTTACACAGAATCAACAAAGTGCTAGTTGTTGCACTGCATCATATTGATATGGGACTCATAGCAACATATTGATATGGGACTCATAGCAACATATTCAACGCGTGTAAAATATGGATGAGCTATCTTGCGGGCTGCGAGTTGCAGGCTTCAAGGTTTTACTGAAAATATAATAAATAAAATTAATTAGGCTAATCGGCACCACGGAACATACAAAAAATTAATTAGTAAAATTAATTAGTCCCAAATAAAACTACCACGCTGGAAATGCTGGGCTAAATTGTACCGGTCCTATGTGGAGTACATGAAGTGCACCGTCAATGTAACAAATTTACCACTACATTTGCATGCAGGAGGTAACTACCACACTGTTTATAGTTTGTTCGAAGAGGCTAAAAATATGTCTGAATTTAGGCCAGTTAGGGTTAGGGTAATGGTATGAATAAAACTAATAAACTACCGGTACTAGAGGCTTATTTGTGAAGCTTAATGTGAAGCCCGCAATCCGCAGCTTGAAGTCCGCAACCCACAGCCCACAAATTAATGATTTTGTGAAACTCTTAACATGCACGGCATGACAACTGTTAGTATTTTTAAAATATTACTTATTTTGACCATAGAAACATCTATCATTTTACATAAGTGATAGAGCAAATTTGGTAACTGTGACAAGCTCACCTGTGAGTATCCAGTAGCCCAGTTATTACCAGCACCACCTCCATTTTTTGAAAGATAGATATTTTCTGGATTGTAAAGGTTAGCGTATGGGGAATTTAATATGCCGTGGATAACACGGGGCTCTAAGTCCAATAGTACAGCTCTTGGGATGTAGTGTTCATCATCAGCCTAGATACAAAATTAATGTAAACTAAGTTATTATTGTACACTGCATACGATTAGAATCACACCACAAATTACTTTTGTATTTAGTTTACTGCCCTCTACAGGCCTCTACAAGTTTTATGTAAATCTAAAAATACTGTAAAACGAAAAATTATTTGAGCAGTTTTATTTTCGCGTGGTACACAGAGGTGGCTCTGTGCTAAAATTAAAATGCATGCAAAGTTTGAATGTTATGCTAGTAACACAAGACTAGTGAATGAAAATGTTATGTATTCATCTGAATTCTGGTTTTAAAAAGTGGACATTTAGAACAACAGCAGTATTCATGTGACTGTCAATTTGTTCCACATATTCGCAAAGTGGCTTCAGTCGATCTGTAATGCCAGCAAGTTGGTAGCCCTGTGTACACAATTCCCAGTGATTTTCAATGGATTGCACGGCTTCATCTAACCATTTAGCATGAAGTGGTTTGAATCCGAAAGACGAAGATTAACTTTGACATCAGAAATATCAGTTCCTTCAAAGTACCGTCAGTGTATCACGATTAAAAGTTAGATTTCAGTGAGTCATTGAAAGGCTTGTCAACGGCAAGATTAATGGGTTGTAGCTGATTGGTACAACAGGCCGGAACAAACGCAGTGGCGATGTTGTCGTGTAGTTATTTCAAAAAATCTTCACATTGATAAATCTTCAAATAATGCCAGGGCTTTTTGTTTTTCGGGTAACCCCACCTTCTGGCGTGTCGACGTCACATACGAAATGATAACAGTGTCTAAATACTTGGCATAATGGCTGTCGCATTGAGTGTAAAACTGCAGTAATAGCGATAATCAATGTGTGTTGGATAGTGGAAGTGTAACACTCATTTTTAATGGGTGAATTAGTAACTTACATTAAAGCGGAGGGGTCGTCACCTGCGCATGCACAGGAATCGGGTCCCAAGCAACGATAACAATGCATGCTAAAAATGCAAAGGCTCATGGATAGACACGTGTTTGTAAACAAAGACACACTATGGCTGCTTGCGCAGGTGACACCTCCCCTGCTTTAAATAATAAATGCTCTTTGTTCTTGTATGTTAGGATTCCGTTTTAAATTTATTGACAAACATGTATAAATGAAAGGTCAAAGTTGAAATAATTAGTCTGCAAGAAGAACACAAATAATAAAATACGTGAATAAGACGAAATTTGCTTTCACACACAAATTTCAGAGCGTGAAAATTTCTCGTCCTACAGTATTTTTCAAGTAAGGAAATTGAAGTTTCTGAACACGGAAAATAACAAGCAGCCTGAAGGCTGAGAAAGCTCCACTGTTAGCAATGCACATTACAATTGAGAACTGAAGATATCATTAGAAAATGAACAATATGTATAGTATCAAAGCAATCAGACTTTTGATTTGTAACTGTCGCATACGACTTGTTTACCACTTCCGTGTGACTGAGAATGTTCTAGAACCGTACTGTGTCTGGGTGGAATTTTTAGAAACTGGTAATGGAACATTCTAGAAATTTGCAGTAAGTTCCAGACTCATTATGTATGCTGATGTAATGGTCTATTTATAGACAGTGTGGGTATATATAGGGGAGTTGTTCAACACTGAGATCAGATCGGAGATCTCGTTGAATTGTGGTGGAGTTTAAAGTGCCTGTGAAATGGCTGCTATTTTCACGTCTAAAATTATCAATTGATACATAAATATTATTAATTTTTATGTTTCTAAGCATAAATTATTTTTTTTAAGTGAAAAAATGTGTTTTAAACTCAGTCTACAGCAACTTTATTTTTTGTATTTTAAAACGAGGCTCCTCATTAGCTATTCATTGCCATACAGAAATTCCCCTTGTGACGTCAGAAAGGGA